AGCCTCGCTAAAATTCAAACCAACGGTTGAGGGACCGGAAATTAGTTGGTCTAAAATTCGTTTTCAACGCGAAACTCAAATCTGAAAACTGCGAGTGTGTAGCACAAACCAAAAGAAAGTTATAGAGGTTTTTCTGTCAATAAAAAAATCAGAATTTACGAGATATTACCGCATAGTAACGTGAGTTATAAAACTTTTAGTGGAAGGGGCAGAACCAATTAGTGGGCACCCGACGTTACGGGAGATCAGTCCTCTATATGAAAATACTAGATGAGCAATACTCATGAGTATTTTGCCAAAAGTTATATGCGTACTCAACAATACTCTAGCATGAGTACTCAAAGTCATCCCCACAATAGTCATTATTCTCGCTTGATTACTCAATGATTACTCAAAGTGTATGAGTACGTATGAGTACTCGTCCGATTTTTCTAGCAGAGTACCTTTTGAATACTCACACATGAGTACATACTAGGGTTGAAATAGAGGAGAAAGAATGCAGTAGAAAATTAATAATTTTTTCATAAATTGATAATTGCTTTAATTTTTCTTCCATTTCAATTGCAATATTAATTGAATAACATCGATACAGGAAAGTGGAAAACGATAATATTCTTGTGTGAAGATTTCTAAACTTAAGCTACGAAGCGAAAGTTCTGGAAACTGCTTTTTTATCTGTATCTCGATCCCCGCAGAATTTCTTCTATTTCAATTTTCTTCAATTTTGAAAACAATTTATAACTCAAAAACGTCGAAAAATCTTTTAAAGACACTAGAGGAAAGCCCGTTTCAAAAATCGGACTCTGTCACGACCTAGATAATCTAATTACCGAGTAAGAAAAGTTTTCCTGGATGCCAAAACACCAGTTCTAGAACTGGCGTCTATCTAGAATGGTATCTATTCTAGAATGATGAGTTACTAAATTTCGTATTAACAACAACTGTACAAGCAAAACGGTTATTTAAACTTAACACTTTTTTGTAATCTAAATTCTCTGCCTCCAAAGTTGTAAAAGTAACAGTGAACGATCAAGTCGTTCCGGTATGACTTTTAAAATGGCCTTTAGAATGGGCGTTGTAAAAATAGTTTTTGATGGTGCTTTTTTTTCGAAATGTTTACGAATAGAATTAGTCTTTTACCGTCAAACAAAGAAAAGAGAATAGAAAATACTGTCATGTTTACTTCGTTTAATCTGTTTTGAAAATATTGTAATCACCACGCTTTTCTATACACAAATTCTTAATTTTTTGTGTGGTGATTGATATCCAAATGGTGGAGGGTGATAAATTAACCGAAAATTTTTGAAAACTTTTATAAGAAAGAAAATAAAGTTCATGAGCATTCGAAACTATGGAGCTATAGTTTTATCTCTAAACATATTCGATTTTCACTCAATGTAAATTACAACTTGCCGTCTTCGGAAATGAAATCCAATACAACCGCTAGAAAGGGTGTTCGGTTCCAACAGAAAACTTTTAGAATGGTACCGTTACCATTCTAAGAATTTTGGAACAGTTACAACTGTCTCCCTTCAAATGTGACAAGATATAGCTGTGAATCTAAAGAACTGGAGAGTCTGAGAAGATTCCAGAATGTTCAGCACAGGTCATTTCATGGAACAAAACGTTTGAACATAAACATGACGAAATTATAGGCCGGTAGCAGAGCCACATGGTCCAGTCGATTCAAGACAAGCATACATTATTATCCACTATTATACGCAGAGACATAAACACAAATGAATAATTTAAAAAAATTCACAATTTTCCTCTGATCTAGAATCGGACGAACGGAGACACAGCTCCGTTTGGTGGAGGATGGAAATATTAACTAATAAAGAATACAGAACATGCCGGCATTTTTTAGCACAGAACTCTTGTTCAGTGCGTGTGACTGATTTTGTAGGCCAGTTTGCTAGTGCAATTTGTATGAATTTCTACATTCTGAATTGTATTGTAAGAATATTTTAAATTTAACCTACCTGCAGTTCGTTACTGGTAAGTAAATATAAGTTGTATGTTCTGCAGTCGCTTTTTCTTTGACAACCTTTAGTTTATGATTTACTTTTATTTTCTGTAGTGCCTTACATGCATGAAATGTTGTGAATGTTTAGATGTAATCATTTGATATCTATTTATTCTGTAAGTTATTCACAACCTGTTGTACAGAATTTGTTTAACGAATAAAAGAACGAACACTAACTTGTTTCATTAGTTGTTCAATTTGTTAATAGATCATCAGCAACTTTCAAAGCTAACTTTCTTTTAGGAAAAAAACATCTCAGGTATAAATTCTGCCTTCTAATTTTTACTAAATTGCGCATCTTTTCATGGTTCAATATTAGGAGAAAAGTTAAACCAAACAATCAGTAATGATGCATCGTGAAAATATTGAAATTTGGACAGTGTAGTATCGAAAAATAATTCCATTAATGTATCCAAGTTTTTGGCGTGACTCGATGATTTCAATTTAGCTTTTTAAACTAAATATTCACTTTTTTTAAATAGTTAAGTTTCGCATTGTCTGGCATGAGAAGAAATATTTTTGCTCTCTCAAATGGATAAAAACTGATTGACAACTAAACAGTTCTTCATGCATCATTTGTTTTTACGTAATCGTAAATAACGCGTAATCGCTGGGTTATAGATGCGAATAGGAATGGAATAGAAAATGACCACATGTTTATAGCGCTATTAATTAGGTGAACTTACTTAGATATGTAAAATAAACCATCTATTTATTGACATAAACGCAGACAAACAAGTGTTCGTTGTAGTTCATGTTCAAAGAATCTATCTGGTTTTTCAGGCTAAGAAATGAAGGCACGTTTGGGATCCATCTTCGGGTTAATCAGTCTGCTGTCAGTTTGTGTTCTAAACTTGGAATTTAGTTTTCTAGGTACAGTTACTAACTGTGAATCAGAAGAAATCTATCCCGAAGGCTCAATAGAACCTGAACCTGAGATACTGAATTTTTTCAAAATTTAGCCGTTTTTTGAAATTTTAGATTCTTCTAGTTTTTCCAATTTTTTTCCTTCAAAAAACATTAAAAGAAATCATCTTGATCAGCTCGACGAGCTCTATCCGAATATGTGTAAAAAATCTTTTAATGCTTTGCTACCTTTCTATTGATTTATTAGGTCGCTAACGACTAGATACAATAGTCAGCCAAACTGTTCGATATGAGCGAGTATTCGTAATAGTGGGAGCATAACTACAAGTAATGTTCATCTTCGACTCAGTGACCCTTGAATAATTTTCAGAAATAATGAGGACAGAAAGTATACGATGTTTGATCGGAAGGAATTATTATTAAAGAATCAGCATGAGATCATGAGGAAAACTAAGCGATCATACGTCTCAATACAGGGCGAATTAGACTGGCTATTTTACTTTCTGACACCACTGTATGTCCTGTCTTTTTCCGCAACCGATTGTTAATAGACGTCAACAATGAAGAATAGAAAATAAGAGAACAAGGTATATTCCGCATAATTTCCACCAACAATACTTTCTCATAGCTGAATGCACTGTACTGGTTGTTCACATTTTAGATATAGTCACATCAATCTTGATCCGAGTTGCATATAATCGCATACCTACTTATCATAGTCGATCGACAACCAATAATTTCAAGTAATTATAAGAGTTCATATAGAAAAACTTTTAAAATACTGATAAACAAAAATTTATTTTCTATAATAAAAACAAATGAGTTTATTTTCAAAAACAAAAACAGACAACAAGAATAAACGATCAAAATAAACAAATTTTTGCTTTTTTGTTCTTAAATTTTTGTCTTAATGAATTATCATTGGTTAATAGTGTTAATAGTTCTTGTTTAATTTGCTGTAAATCGCATAAACGTTGTTGTTTAACATTTTCGTCATTCCAGTCCAAACATAAATATTTCAATCGTTTTAAATTTAATGCTTTTTGCTCAATTAAATCATCTAAACGTTTTGGTGTGCCAATAATCACATTTAAATTTGATGTTTTAGACAACATTTTTATTTGTTCATCGATCTTATGATGTTTCGCAAATAAACATTGACATTGACTTTTTTTAGGTACTATGTCTTTCAGAGTTTCACCATTGCTTTCGTCTTGTGTAGATAACCATTGTTTCATATCTTTACCTTTAAACGAAAACAGAATGATTAATTAGTATCAATAATACATAAAATTCAAAATCAAATATTGATTGAATTTTGTAAATAAAGTTCATACAAGTTCTTAAGTCTATTAATATTTCTGGAATTAAAGAAGTACATGTGTGTTTACTCAAACATGAACATATAAACAAAATTTGTTTACCTAATTCAATACATCGCTTAGCTGATGATGCAACTATAATCAGTATTGGCGCTCCACATAATTCATTGTGTTTAGTCACTTGTTTTTGCCATTTTTTTTTACTCATAATTGATGACCAGTATTCATTTAAACTTTGTTTAGAATTTTCACGACATTTACAAAAAACATTTTGCTCTGGCGTGTAACAATCAAGGATTTCATCTAATTCTAATTGACTTTTTTTTTTTTTGAAATCCTGACGAATTATTTGGATTAAATCGGATGATTTTGCAAATGGACGAATTTTTTTCTTTGATTTGGGTGTTTTAACGCCATTACTAGAAGCACCATTTGTTGAATTTTCGCTGTTTTTTTTCTTTTGCATTTTCAATTTTTTCTTTTCAATATTTTTCGATTGTTCTGTTGTTGTTGTCGTTGTCTCTCTATTATCAGTAGATTTTGTTTTCTTTTTTTTACCATTTATAGCTATTTTTATGCCAGAATCATCAGCAATTGAAGTTGGAGGTTCTTCTACCCACCAATCGTCATCAAGATCATCAGCCATTCCAAATAATTATCTAGAAACTAAAATTTGAAACTAAAGTCAGACTATCATCCATATCTCAGCCATGTTTTTAATGACAAAAGGAATAATACATTATTAATAAAAAAAACCTTTTCTATTCGTATAATTCAGTTGAGGAAAACAGCACGCATTGGAAAGTCTATAACTATCTTTACGTCACCTAGCCAGAAAGTTATTTAATCTCTATTATTTCTTTTTATTTTTTCCTATTTCATTTTTGCAGTTTGGCTTGAGTCACTAATATCACAGATCGGGGACAAAGTTTATTCACAAAAAGTGCGAGTCATCAGCCTTAAGTTGTAAAAGAGAAAACACAGATACAACAGCAGATTGCAAAATTGAACCGGTTGTGATTATTGAAGGAAATTTACGAAGCCTTCTCTTAGCGATAAATTTTGATGATACTTCAGAAAGTAAATTCACTTCAGATTACTCATTTTTGAAACCGTTTACTTTTTTCGTTGCCTTCTTAGTATGAAGTATAGCATAGCGGAAAATAAGGATAGTCCAAAGAAATGTTGGACTCCACTATTCTATTGGTGAATAGTATGAGCCATACTGGTAGCGTTTGAAAAGCTGTCGTCGATGTATGTCTGCACTGTAAAAAAAAGTAACGGTAAAAACATAAAAAGTCGCAGTAAAAACGTGGCATCATGAAACTAATGTCACGTTTTAACTGTGACTTTAACGTGACTTTGTTCTTTAAGTGTGACTTGTTAACGTTTTTTCTGTGGTAATGTCACATCCTAATGATATCTAAAAACGGATTTTCCTTGGTATCACTTTGCATTAGTTAAAATAGACCAGTGGGATAAAGATAATGTCATATTTTTCCCGTTACATGTCACGGTAAATTTGAAAAACGAAACGTCCGTGGTTTTTTCACCTACTTTTCTCTGAACCACATACAAAAGTTCGTCGATCATTAAGTAAGGACCGTGAAGTATGTAATCACGGGCTTTTCAACCCGGAAGTTATCAGTCAGATCTGTAATTTTTTCGTGAAAATATGGATTAAAGTGCGTGAAAAATTACAGATCTGACTGATAACTTCCAGTTTGAAAAGCTCGTGATTATATACTTCACGGTCCTTACTTAATGATCGACGAACTTTTGTATGTGGTTAAAGTAAGTGAAAAAACCACGGACGTTTCGTTTTTCAAATTTACATTGATCGTATGTTTTTCTTGTTGATTGCTGCAATTTTTTTGTTAAATTTTGTGGAAAGATGGTGAACATTACAAGANGCATAGCCGGAATGAATGGTTACTGTTCATCGGAGCAGACAACTTTTTTTTCTGTATTGGAAGAACAACTTACATGGCTATCATTTAGTCCTTTCAGACAGTGTTGGCGACAGCTAGATCCAGTTTTGACCTTTCTCGGAGCAAACGTAAAAGCTGTTCCGTATTCTAAAGAAGCCATTGCGGCCCGATAACTTTTATTTTACTCTTACTGTACAGTTTATAATTGTTAAGGAAGCTTATAGAAAACGAACAAAAAAGCAAAAATTCACAGTAATAAAATAAAAATAAAAATTTAGACCTTTTCGGCGATCTTGGCGTCAGCTAGATCCAGTCTTGAACTTCCTCGGAGCAAAAGCGATAAAAACAACTTTTCTTTAATTCTTCAACGTAGCTCATAAAATAAGGAACGCAGAACAACAACGATAAAGAAGAAAGTAAAAATCGTCGTTATTGATATTATTGATAATGGCTAATGACTTTTCATGGCTAAATGTTTTTATCTGACACAAAGGAAAATGGCCGTTATGCAATTTATTAAGTAAAGCGACATTCTAGTATTTGCTTAAAACTACCATAAACCAATTCGTTTGTCTGACAGTCGGACAA